GATACTTTATGGTAGACAATTTTACTATTATTAATATTATTATTAGTTTTAAATTTTATATTATATATAATATAATTAATAATGATTTAATCGGTTATGCACTATAATAAATTTTAATTTAAAATTTAAAAATATTAATTATTTTTTTAATTGTAAAATTCATAAATATAAATCTGTTGAAAAAAAATTGCTTGAAATATTGCAAAAAATATTTTAATATGTTATTTAAATATATTTACAGAATGATCGATTTATTATTGACCACTAAGTTTAACATAAAGTAATAATAATCTTGGAAATATTTTTTGGCTTTATTGAGTACTATTGATCTTTTAATTTATAAGTGTTTAAATATTTTTTAGGTTCGTCCTTTATTCCTTATAAGGGCATAAACTTTATTTTATTGATGGCAATATAAATTTTTTATTTATTTACATAATAGTAAATGGTCTAACTAAAAAAATGACCGATAGATAATAATCATTATTGGACCAGTATTTCGAATATTATTAATTATAATTTTAGTTTACTATATACCATTTAATATCATTTAAATTTAGAGCGATAAATTCAATCAACTGTTTTCAACAACGGAAAAAATATTTTGAAAACGGCGACAAATTAATTGATCATTAATAATTCGGCGGACACATATTTCAGAAAATTAATACTAAAAGCAATTGCGCCACAAGAAGTAAGAGCGACAATTCAAATAATAGATTAGTTCATAAGCAAACTGTCAACGTGGTTTTCATAAACATTAAGAATGTTTTTAACGCTCTGTCCTTTCAGACTTCTCAAAGCAACGTTTGCCAGTTTGATTATGAAATTATTGCAATACCGCAGGCTACGTAACTGAGAAAATGAGTACTGAACACAATCAACACAAGTAGTAAGAGCGACAATTTCAAATATTCAGATGAATAAAAATAAATGTCAATAATTAATAAAACAATAAATATATTGCATGAGAGAACGTGACTTAGCGGCCAAATGGTAAGATACAAAAATAAGATTCGATAGTCACTGAATTACGTTCGTTTGTGTCCCATGGGTTAGAAATAAGTTTATAAGCAAACTGACAACGTTGCTTCCATAAGTATGTATACTTAAAAGGGACAGAGTTTTTAAATTGTTCTTGAGGCTTATGAATTCTACACGTTGCCAGATTGCTTATTAACTTACATTTTATTTGAATTTGTTGCCGTTTTTAAAATATTTCTTCCCGTCTGCTGAAAACTATATTTTTCAAAACAACGTTGCCAGTTTGCTTATGAAATTATTGCTATACCGCAAGTCACGTAACTGAGTAAGACAGGATCCCTTTATTCACTATTTGCCCCCAAGTTGCGTTCTCTCATACAGTGTATTAACTGTACTATATCTTTATGATACTTTATTCGACCGGTTATCTGAATTTGTCGCTCTTTTTAATTCGATTTACTTTAGTGTTTATTTTCTAAAATATCTGTCTATCGAATTCTAAATAATTAATAAATTTTTCGTCAATTTATTGTTTAGTTTTCTATATAGTACTCTAATATATTTGTGACCGGTTATGACAATTTTTATTATTAGACGTTTCTTGATCGATTTCCATTTGCCTATGTATAAAAATACTAATAATTTCCTAATAACTGGTCCAAGAGTTATTATCGACCATTTATAATTTTAATTAGTCATATTTTAATTTTCTTTTGTAATATTTCAAACAATTTTCAATCAACAGTTTTATAAATTTATGAAGGTTAAAATTTAATAAATGATTAATATTTTTAAATTTTTAATTAAAAATTATTGGAATGCATAACCGATTTAATTTTTTTAAATTATAGTATATATATAATTACAAATAAAATTTAAAACTTCTATTAAACATTTCTGTTAAAAAAGAGTAACTTTATGTAATAAAAATGGTGCCTGAATAAATTGTTCTAAAAATTGACTAAGCCGTCATAATAAACAACATACATTTTTAAATGCAATTTATTTACATTACTAATTGGCAATTAATAAGAAATAGATCATGCAATTTGTGGCGGTAGCACTATCATCGGTACCGACAATTTTGTTTGGATTATCACCTTTAAAATATATTAACTAAACCCCACACAACTATGCCGTAATGTTTTAGTGTTTTGTTGTATATATATATATATATATATAGTCATTACTAGGTAATGAATCAAGACGTTTGATGTGAGTTACTATGAGCATTAGATTTTATTGGAAATAACCTGCTTTTATAGTAAGTATTGAGCACGGTGGAAAATTGGAGAGTTTACGATCAAATGAATTCTAGAGTCGAACACAAAATGACATTAACTGTTACTATTTCTTTGAGATAACTGATTGTTATCTATCTGGGTACGCTATTGTGTGTACGTTGCTCATACATGGCCTTTTAAACGCTAATAGTCAAAAAATACAATAGACTCTTACTTACTATATCTTCACGCATTTCAGGAATAATTTCAGTCGAGTAATTTTTTTTTCTAATTTAAAAGTTACAGGAATTAACTATGTGAGCATTGGTTTACCGAACCTGAATCATAGTAATCACTTGTATATTCATGAACATTTTATACATACTCATCTGATTGGGGAAAAAGGGCTCACCGAAATAGCCCACTTGCACCTAACCTCAAGGCCCTTCAAGACTTTAAACATTTTTTTTTTTTGCTCTTCAATTTTTTTAAGAAAAACTCAATGTGGTAAAGGGTTAGATTTTTTCAATAATAAACACATTATAGTATAAATAACAATGCTACATTCTAAAAAAAAGAAGCCCTAAGCTATAGCCTACCTAACTAACCCCTAAAAATGTCATTGGATACATAGAATTATAATATTACTTCTAAATATGTGTCTTTTTTTTAAAAACTAACAAATCTTGGAATACTACTATTAAAATTTGGTTTATCAGATATGCTTTCTATTGTAAAGTAATCGGATGATTCAACTGGTGAAACTGCCAAATATATAACTGTAAAAAATTTATAAAATATATCTTCGATTCATACATATAGATAGGCCCGCCGAGTAACCGGGATTATTGCCAGGTTAATTAACAGGTTTTAAAAAAAAAACACCAAATGAAATGGATATATCTAAGGCATTAATAATAAACATTTTATTTGAAAAGTTATAGTTATTTTTATCAAAAAAAGTGTAAATGATAGGTAAATCCTCATGTATTTACAAAAAAAAACAATTATATTGATTTGATCATTTTTAAAAAATTTATGGCAGTTTTAAGTAAAAAAATTGAAAAAATTAGTGACTTAAATTTGTAATTTTTTTGGAGATTTTCCCCATTTACGGGGAACGAGGGAAAAATTTCAATTTTGAGGGTATTATCTTCGACTAGATACGATTTGTGATCTTTTAACGTATAGTTGAAAGAAATCGGTTTGATGAGAGCTGAGAAAAAGTTGTAATAGACAAAAAAAACACATTATAGTAAAATTAATATCTTCTCAGCTTCGCATCGAAGCTAAAAATAAGGGTAAATAATAACAATTCAAACATTGAGTGCCGGTATAATAAAATTGGTCCGCACGTGTTAGCGAAATTATTTAAAGAAATATGGATAACGTTCTCGGCGGCTTAACCAGCCACACCTCACGCCGCACCAACATCTGTAAATATTTTAAAAATATAACCGATAGGGGCAGCACAAGTCGACAAAAAAGATGCATAAAAACGGTCTATAACATGTGTTAAAAGAATGCATTTTACTGAATCTGTATTACATTTAGAGCTTTAACACTTATTACAAAATTGAAAGAGAACAATAGTTCGAAGACAATCACATAATCAATTTGGGATTAAGCTTGATAATTGAAAATGAAAATGAGTTAAAAAATGTACTTTTTTGTTATACATCAATCAATTATAACTCTTCACTAATACAATATAACCAAAACGAATATAAGATCATCTCCAAAATATTGTTCTCTTTCGATTTTATAATGGGTTTTATTGCTCTAAGTGTATTACTTGGTGTGTAAAATGCATTTTTCGAAGACATGTTTTTACGCTCAAAAATTGGTTGTATAACGTCCTCTTAAATTTTGAAAATGTTCCGGAAATATTCCGAGCTTCAAATATATATTAAATTAAAGCTTATGTTACGTACTATAAATTAAAAAAAAATTTGTCCAGATGACCTATGTAAATGGTTTTTGCAGTTAAAAAATATATTATTTTTGTGTTCAAATTTTATTTAGCTTTAATACGAAGTTGAAAAAGTATTAATTTTACTATGATGTGTTTATTTTTTATGTCTATCGCCACTTTTTCACAGTTCTCATTGGACTGATTTCTTACTACGATGTGTCAAAAGATAACATATCGTATGTAATTGGAGACATTGTCCTATAAATAAGAAATAATTTTCTGGTTCCCTGTAAATGGAAGAAATCTCCAGAAATTTTAATTTAAAATTAAAGGATGTTAACTTTTCAAATATTACTAATATATTAATATAAAATGACTAAAATGTACCAATAAAATGGTAATTTTTTTGTTGATTTCTCCCATCTACAGGGAACGAGGGAATTTTTTTCAATTTTTAAGAGCAATGTCTTCAACTTAATACAATTTATGATATTGTAAAAAATTTGCTACTTTTGTCCCTAAGGACAGGTAAAGGGTCAGATTTTCAAAAAATGTACATCAAATGAAAGCGAAATACTTAAAGTTTCAATATAAATAAACATTTTTTGTATTATATAACATATTTTATATGTTATTTAAAAGGAATAAATAATTTTAAAAGTATACTGTAATGATTATTTTACTTTCAATAAAATTTGTAAGCTTTGAATTATGATAACTATATAAAAGACATTTATTGATAACATAGATCATGGATAACATGGATATTATGATGTCATGGACGCCTGATTTTCCTGCAAAGATCCGTTTGTGCCTATCTTCAATCGTGATAAAATGTTATCATACAAAACACAAATTATTGGTTTAAAATGTTAACAAACGCATGTCCACTGCATGAATTAATGCTATGGGTTTTAATATATGTTTAAATTTTATTTATTTTGAATAAATCAATGAAGTAATTTATGTAGTTTTTTCTGTATTTTTTAAACAAAATTCAATTTTATTCATATTATGTAAGTTTTTTTGATTACTAGAAATTTTGTTATTTTAAATAAATGAACTTAGATATTTGATTTTAGCAACACTTAATGTCCTCTACATTTAAATTGCACATTCATTATATTGTTTGCTGGATAAATTATAAAAATTAAACGATTTCTATTAATCTTTTTTTTATATTTCATAAAAAATGACTAATTTTTTGTCTATTTTTTATTTATATTAATAAAATTTAATTCAACTTCTAGTGCATTGTAAGTTGAAACTATAAAATAAAAACATAAAAATATTGAATTGTAACTAGCTATAGTTTTTATGAATGATAGGAGGTTTGTTTGTTTTTGAATAATCATTTTTCATGAATTAATATACTAGTAATTTATATTTCAAAAGTTTGGCTTTAAAAATTTTAAACATGTAAAAAACAATAAATACTGTTTTTAAGCTACTATTGGTGTGTTACATTGAAACTAAGCTGACTAAATGAAAGTATTCTATAAGATACATCAAGACAATACAAAAAAAAATTAAAAATGATTCTATTTATCTCTAATATAGAGATTTAAAACTTTGGACATACGTCTTTTATATAATAGCTGATTTTTTTGCAATAATATATTGCTAGAATTTCTATGTTTATTTCACACATAGAACCTTTATCAGACTCTGGATATATATTTATTTTTTTGTACATGTATTCTTCCAGAACTTTTCAAATAAATGTTGAACTTATTGAACTTTTAAAATGTTGTAAATTTTTCAAAAGGATTGCATATCAAAATGATTTATATCATAGCCTCATATGTTATTATCAGTACTAAAGTATCTATTAAATTCAATTTTGAAATTTAATTTTATTTGCTATACAAGGAGTTATTTTTATTGCATGTTATTCCAAATTGATATTAAAAGATATCAATAATAGTTTAACATAAATTCTTTTTCAATAGGTATATTTTATTCAAAAATTTTTAGTAAGTCAAATGGATTTAATGTTGTTTCCATGAGTAATTTATTTATTTTTTATTATAATTTAAAGTTTTAAGTCATATTTAATACCATATTATAATTTTTCGTCTTTTAAATAATTGCCAATCCTAATTAGAATGCTAGTAGTCCACTTTAAAAAAAGTTAGCCTCAACCTGACTGATATATTACATAAGTTAATCATTGCCTTTGTACCTAGGTAATAGTTTTTTACTAGATGAGTTATTTATAAGATTTTTTTTTTATTCTTAAAAAAAATTAATTTACATAGGATATTGATTAATTTTTACTTTATTACCTGACAAAAATTATTAGACACATATATAATCACACTTAATATACTTTTTAATTCATAAATAATTTATTTGTCACAATTTTCTCATTAACTACATTTTATTAATTTCTTTTGACAGGTCTAAGAATATAATTATTTTTTTGTAGAATAATAATAACAAAAAAGTATGGAAGGATTTGAAACCCTTTTAAAAACTGCTATTGAAAACAAACAATTCTTAGAAAGTAAATCATTATCAAATATTGCTGATTACTTTGGTAATAATAAAAAATCGTTAAAGTTAAATAGTTTTTTGTATGAATATCTTAAGATATTCCCTCAACATATTATACATCTTCCATCTAGTAAGTATTTATTATTTTAAATAACTTTATTATTTTAATTTGTTGTATTTGATATAGACTTGTTTGACCATATTCCAACTATGAAACATGAGCCTTTACATCCATTGTATTCATTTGTTGCATCAAAACATACTCTATTAAATGAAAAAGTGGTCTGCAACTTAAACTTACATTCTTTACCTACTGAAAAATGGGCCTATCTTATGGCAGCATTTTATAAAAGGCTTGATATGATTATGTTTAATCCAGAGTTTGTTGAAAAATCTAAATCTAAAATAGATTTTTATAATATGTTGATTGACTGTCCTAATTGGTTTATTGATAATGAAGATTTTTTTATGGCACTGCACTTCATTGAATTTGGTAAGTACAATATATGAATATTTAACTGTAACTTAAAAAAATATTTTATGTATTTATATTTTGTGCCTACACATTAATTAATTTGTATATTTTTAACTTGCATTTAAATTGACATTTATTCTTTATATAACTTTTAGTAATTAAATAGTCTACCATTTTATTGCTTTATATTTAACAATGTATAAATGTCCATTCATATCAGTGATATAAACATGATTAGGATTGACTTTAACAAATGATGCATCAACAGGAAAAAAACTTTGCTTAACAAAAACTCTTCTTCTGGGTACTTTGACACAATCACTAACAGAATCTGTATTTCGTCTTTTATTAAATTCTTCTTTGTCATACTGTTCAAAACTATTTAAAAATTCTTGAAACATCCTTGATGTTGGAATACCATCCACAAAATCTTCCTTTAAAATAATACACATTTAATTATAGCTGTCTGAACAACATTGAATCTATGTATAATATTCAATAATTTTACACTTACTTTATTGGTTGGAATCATACTTGGCCTCCTAAAAGGATCCATTTATTATGAATATAAATATGCTTTTGTATTAAAAGAAATTATAGTTCCAGATATGAGTTATAAAATGTTGTATTTTTATTTTATACCTTAATGTTAGTTAAAAAAAAATTCATGTTTTCTGAACTAATGTTATATAAATTGGAAGAAATGTTTATTTAAAATTATTTTAATCTTAATTACATTTCACTATCTGTTAGACTTTGAGCTGTAAATTTAAAATAACCTGTATGAATAAATTATACCAGTTCACTATAATGTGAGTTAGTTGTTTTGTTAACAATAAACAGCACATCTAGTTTAAAACTTCCTTTACTGATTGCTTCCTTATTAACAATTATTATTTTTTTCTATTATATCTATATTGTAACCTTATCATGTTTTTTTTTTTTTTTAATTTTTTATTAATTTAAAAATTATAAGGTTTTTACAATATAATGTAATTTAATTCTTTCTTAGACGAAGATGAATGTTATGAGTTATTTGATAAGCTATCTAAAAATTGGTCAGAATTTAAAATAAATCAGGCATCAGTATCTTTTGTAGATTTAGTAGCTACAAAATGTGACAAGGAAATTGAATTTATTCAATTTTTGATGTCTGCTCTATTTTCATTACCTCTAGATAGGTATCTATTTTATTATTTTATTAATTATGTTGTATATAATTACTTTATATCTAGTTTAAATAATTTAATTTAGTTATGATATGCCTTGGATGTCCAATAAAATTATAAGTATTTTGAAAATATTTGATCCTAAAAGTTTTGTACAATTAAATGATTGGGATGCAATAATAAAAAAAGCTTTAAAATTTGGATTAGCTGATGAAAATCCCAAATATGAACTTATAAAGGTTTTGAGAAAGTTAATTAAGAATACTTCAGTTGAAAAATCAATACTTCTAAATACATTTAATTTACTAACTGGGCATTCACAATTTAGTAATATTATGATAAATCGTAATGCCAATCAAGCACAAAAGGGTAAATTGATTTTAATTTTTTGGTTTTAAATTAATATTTTAAATATAAATGTTTAATTCAATTAAATAATTTTGCAGAAGAAGTTCTCAAATTATTAGAAGTATTAGTTAAAAAAGATCCAACTCTAATGACCCTTAGTCATGTGCCATTTTTTCTCTGTTCTTACAATGCTTCTATGTCTGTCAATGACCAGTTGTTATTGAGAGTAAATATGGTTAAAAACTTTAAAAAAATATATTTTATAAACATTGAAATATATTTTCAGTTACTATCGTTATATGAAGAAAACTCTATTCCAATATCAAATTATAGACCTTATTTATGGGGCTCTTATGCTGTAGCACATTACCAAGTTAAAAGTCATTTAGAATCTAGAACTTTACATGATTTTCCATCAACTAGTGAAGTTATTTCATATGTACCACTAAAAAGGTTGAAAGAAACTTTATCATATTTTCCAGTTGAAAGGCTTTTGCATATTAGAGTAAGTTCTTAAAATATTAATTTTTATTTAAAATACCAAAAAAATTATTTTGTTTTAGAAACAGAAAATAATTTATTATGATAAATCAAAAGATCCTAGTAATATGTTAGACCCTGCATTCTTTTTACCTATGATAAGTAGCTTATTATCTACCGAAGCACCATTAAGTATAGAAAAGTTTACACGTAGTGGATGCTTATCTATGATTTTAGCTTGTTTAGGCAGTGGTGATAGTGATATTAGAATAGCTGCCTATCATGTCTTAACAATTTTACGATCTCATTTATTTTGGTTAGTAAGAAATAAAATTAAAAAAAAAAATGATTCATTCTAATGTTTCACATATTAATATAGTAGAAGAGCTGAAAATATGTTATGGGACCATTTTATATCATGGGTTGCATTTGGAATACAAGATTTAAAATTACAACCTCCTCCACAATTACCAATGATTCAAGCATTATTTTTAGGTAGAATGGTATTGGCCATTGCTAACCATGAAAAAGGTATTGATGTAACTTGTTGCAAAATATTATTAGCTCGACCATCTGCTCGCCTTTGTAATATTCCAGAAATGAAGGCATTTATGACTACTGTGTACGTAATATTTTTAGTCTCTTGGTTTAGTGTTCAAATTGGTTATATTATTAAACTCAAAGATTTTGTTATTAAGCAATATATTATATTTGAAGGGTGATTCATTTATCATAAGCCACATTATTAAACAAAAAAAAAAATTTATAATTATATTAATGGTTTTTTTATAACTTGTCGATAATAACTTATGGACCAATATTTTGTAATTTAATATTTATACAAATATAAATTCAACCTACTATTTTAAAATTGTTTAAATTCTTGACATATGCTTAATAAGAAAAAAACCATTCATGCATATCTAATAGTTCATAATAACGTCTTAATATAATAATATAAATATCAAACCAAACCTATCACAGTGGCATCGTAATTCACAAAAAAAAAATTCTCAATATTAAATTTATTTTTTAATTAATTAAGTGGTTCGTTACTATTGATTTTCCCTGTAAATATAATATACTGCTTAATGATTACATTGAATTATTAATTACAAATTATTTAATAATTTATTGCTGTATGTTGTTTTAGTAACATAGATATTGATAAAACTAGACATATTCGTTGGTTATTTGAAGTCATAAGAGATGGAATTCGATCTAATTTGGATTGGCAAACAATGAAAAATATGGAATTACTTAATGTATTTTTAATAATACTTAGTTGCAGTAATGAAAAAAATAGGGTAATATTATGAATTATTTGTTTTTAAATTTATCTTTTTATAATATTTTTATTTAGATGTTGGTTATGAAAATCATGGAAAGAGCATTTCGTGTTCAACCAGCAACTAATGGAGGTTCTGGTCCTTGGGCCTTAAGTTTGATGACGGCCTTAAGTAAAATACCTACTAAACTATCAAATGAAGAAGTAATTCAAGTATTTTGTTGTCTTAATGCATTGAGTGCTAATTCTAGTATCATCCCAGCTACAATTGATTTCTGGCTGTATATGTTTTTATTATATGGAAATGATTCAGAAATTGCTGTTAAAGGCTTTGCTTCATTAGCTAATCTTTCATTAAAATACTCTGACACCTTCTGTTATTTAAATAAAGAAAATTTATTAACTATATTAAGCTGTGGTAAAAATTCAAAAGTGTTATCAGATGATGAATTATTCAAGTGTAATTGTATTATTGAGCATGGAGTCAATAGTGTTGAAGTTGAAAATTTTAGCACTTATCTATTTTTACCAGCCTTAATAAAAGGATTGAAAAATCAATACCATATGCCTTAATTTTTACTATTAAATTAACAATTTGTCACATAAATTTCAAGTTCTAAATGTTATTTATTTGTTTTTTCAAATTTTCTTAACATTGTATGAAATAATATAATAAAATACTACCAAGTTAAATTATATTGTTAAGAAAATTTATTGGTCATCAAAAAAAAAAGGATTTTTGAAGTATGAGAACCTCAATGCTTTAGTTTTTTTTTTTTTTTAATATTGATGAATTAATAACTTAGATAATTACTTNTTGTTTTTTTTTTTTTTTTTTTTAATATTGATGAATTAATAACTTAGATAATTACTTATTGAATTACAAGTATTTTAATAAATAAATTAAGTATCTAATGAGGTGGGTATAGCTCTTATTGATTTATATTTATAGTACATACTCTATGTATTAAAATACTTGTAACTTAATAAGTACTTATCTTAAAATTATTATTGACCTATTAAAATGTTGTATTAATATATATATAATATATATCTACATATAATATATATTATATTTTTCTCTATATTTCATTCATACATTATTTGTACTTTAGAAAAATATTTATACAATTTATAATTTAGAAATAAAACCATTGGTATCGGTTTTTATTTTATACACTTTTTTTAGGGAGTGAAATTTGTTAATAATCTATAAAACCTTTTATAGGCATTCAAAATTGAAACTCATTTTTCATCTAAAGTTTTCCTTTTTTTTTAAAAAAAATTATGAAATAATGACTTTGAGTACCTATTCACAAAGTATGAAAAAATTAAATCAAATCATAACTTTTTACTTCTTTTCAACTTTTTGAATAACAAAATATCAAATAGTTATTACCCACTAAATAATATTGATCATAAAACTATTGATTGAATAAATTAACGTTGGGATCAGCATTTCAATTTTTAAATGTATATGTATAATTAATGTTTAAAATAGAAAAGAGAGGTCCTGCGTTTTACATGAAAAGTAAAATAAATAAGAAAAAGTGTTCTTATCATATACTTTTAATTTATTAATGATGTACATTTTTTGTTCTAGAGGTGAGATTGAACCCAGCTAGCATAGTTAGAATTTCATAATGGGGGGCTATAGTAAAAAAAAATCTACAAAATTCCATATTTTTGAAATATTAAAAAATAAAAAGCAAAATATCTAAATTCTACTCAATTCTTTAGTTGACACAAAAACATAAAAATGTATGTACATAATCATGAGTAGGTTGTGACCAATTTTATTATAGAAATTTTAAGCATTAACTTATTTAAGAAATCATATAATTAGTATAGTGCTACTACAATTAAAATTAAAATATCTCAATTGTAACAATTAGGCTTGTTTTTCCTTATTTAGAAGTATAATAGATTTCCTAGACCCTATTTTAAATAGTAATTAAGCAGCGAATCTCTAACACCAATACTTAGAAATTGGAATGATATTGAAAAGTTATTCAGTGGCGGTAAAATAATTTTGTCATGGAAGAGGATGAAAAATCTTTATGATAAAAAACATCGTATAGGTATACCTTCAATACTCAAAGCTTTTAGCTTCGATGAGAAGATGACAAGGTATTGGTTTTGTGATAGTATGTGTTATTTTTTTATATTTGCCAATGAAAATTCTTAGCACTCACTGGACTAATTAAAAACTAAGTGCGTGTTACGAGTACGCGCGGATGAAGTGAAACTTCATTCAAAGTCATTCAACTGATAGAATATTAGGTTTATATTGGGATAAAATTTAAAAAAATACACGTAAAATTTTTATTTTCAATTGAAATTAATTTATTTTATTTTGCTATGTGAAATAAGATATAATAGGCTTATGGTAACTGAAATAAGTGATGTAAGTTTTCGATTGAATGTTATTAATATATCCACTAAAAATTGCATCTGTTGTGGTTCCTGATCGAGTTGTTGGAGTTTTTGGATCATTATTCATTGATAAATTAAAATTTTCACGCAAAAATTTTTTTAATGGTTTTGATCTATCTGATGCGAAATTAACATTAAAGCTTCCACTCAGAATCATAGGCAATTTATTTTCTCCCCTGCCGAGTAATGCTGCACCTTCGGTAGTAAAGGTAAGCAGCGATCTATTTAAAAAATAAACTATATCATCAATTTTTTGATTTGGTGAGATATAAACTGCTACAATGATGATTTGTTCCTTTTGTCTTAAATACTCAGTAACACAAAAATCATCAACTGGAGTACTTCTTGAACTAAATAACTGTGATTGTCCTATTGTCATCTCAATCGATGGAGTAACAATATTAACTACATCGTTATTACGATGATAAATAGCTACTCCTGCAAATTTAACGTTTGATCGGTTATATTTAATGATACAACTAAAATTAGGGATTACAGTCTTCTCGTTTTCATGTTCCCAAGTCTCGTAAAAAATTAACATTTTCGAATTTTGAAGGACTGTATCAAAGATGTCTAATGAATGAGCTTGGAGACTTTGACAATTTAGACTATAAATTGACATTCCCGATTGGTCCTTAATAAAATCATTTATGTCTGTCAACTGTGACTAAAGAGCGAGTGGAAAGTTGTAAATTCATCACGAAGGCGGCTCGTGGAATCAGATGTTTTCCTGATGGTTGGATATTTAAAACCATTTTATGTCCACATTGTGGGAATCTTATTTTTATTTAATGAGGCTGGACACGTGTTGCACAAAAAAAATATTTTTCCTTCGAATATTTGGTATGATAGTATTCAAGATAATTTCATGCAATGGAGATGCAAGTCTTAACTCGTTTAAGAACCACAATCTATGTGTCAAATTAACACAATATTAATAATATTTTTAATTTTCAATAATATTAGTCACAAATAATCAATTTTTATTGTATAATTATGGTGTTCGGACCTTTTGATATTTATAAAGAGTTAAACAAACTGACGTAGATCAAGACGAAAATACACCTGATTAGAGCTGATGTATTTTTTCTCAAGAAATGTATTAAGTTCCTTATGATTCCGAGGATGTGTTAAGCATTGATAATGGTAACATTGTTCCCGAAAAACATATCAACGATTTTTTAGTGATTTTTTGTGGTTTTTAAGTTGAATATTTTGTTTAGTTTTTAATCAATAATATTTAAAACTAAAATAGTTTTAATTTTAAATAATATTAGTCACAAGTGATGAATTTTTATTATATAATATGTAAAAAAGAACGTTAGTCCATCTCTGTCGACGGATTAACCACCCGTCCCGTAGTATAAATTGTTAAGAAACCTCTTTATTTAGGAGAGGTCGCTTTGGCTCTTAATGAGTTGATAAAAGCGATATATAAAAAAAAACGTGATTTAAATTTTTATCAAAGCCAAAATTATTTCGAAAAGTCTTAATTTTTAGAAATAAAAAAATTATCACAAAATTATGTTGCTGTAAAAAATAGCATTTTCAAAAAAAATTTTCTGCATTTTAATACTGATATAACTTTTTTTTTAAACACTAATTCGAATGGGATTTTAATAGTTTTTATATCATAAAACTTTCCAATGCTTATTAAAGTAAAAGATATAGAAGTCACACTTGGCCCAATAAAATGTATTTCTACTTATTGAACAATATTATTTGACATTTTTTAATTATTTAAATAAGTGGACTATTCTATAGATAACATGATTTATTTGACACAAATGTTAAATAAATTAGATAATCTATTTAAAAGTTATGGATATTTTTATCGTGTATGTTATTTATTCAAGTTTCATATTTAATTGTGGAAAACACCTTTGCCATGAAATTATAATGCTCCGACATTTGACAAATTAGTAATTATTTCCAACAGTTTGTACTCCCACCATCTGATACCATAAGTTACCATAACTACGACGAATTTTACTCCGACATTATCGATAATCAACACTTTTTACATTTATATACATATTTTTATTTGAATATTTACTATCTATAGTGTAAAATATAATAAGAAAATAATCCAAATGTAAATTTTTTTTTTTGGCAGTAGTTTTGTATGTTGTTTTTGTTTCAAAAGGATCCTTATTTGAACGATTTTCAACTTTGGTGAGATCTAATCGATCTTGATTAGGGAATAGTATCGATCTGGAATCTTGGAAATCCCAGGGGTAATTTTCTTTATTGATTACTGAGACGATTTCCTTAGTGGTCTAGCGAGGAAATAATCTCAAATTTAATAAATCAAAACATGATAACTAATAAAATGTTAGAATCTTTAATAATAGGCACTAATTAGGAGAGGCAAAGAAGTTCGAAAATTGGAATCACTCTTTTCTCCTTTTCAAAAAAAGAACTTTTCAAGGATTGACACCAATTATATAACTGAGGTTGTTTTAATTGAAAGCTGTTTTATCCTAAAATACCTATTTCTTCGATGTCGGATACACTTCGTGGGCTTGTATTTTAATAATTATTTTTTAATAAACACAGTAATAACACTATTTTATGTGAATTATTTATATTGCAACGATATTAATTTACTTTGAAATTTTATAATTGTATTAACTAATTACGTGAATTATCGATATTCGAAGTAAAATTGAATTGGAGCAATCAATTAATTATCCTATTCGGAGTAATTATCGTCATAATAAAATCCTAATTTTTGTAACTAGGTATTTGTAGTAATTGCTGTTGTATGATTTTTTTACAACATTATCAGATCGTGTAAAACCCCGTTTAATTGATTTAATATCATTAAATTAATGACATTTTTTAATGGTTAGTTCATTAGATAAGAAAAAAGATGAATTCACAAATAATTAATAAATATCTCAAATCATGAAATTTGACAGATTCACATCAAAGGGTTTTTTATGTGATGTTAATCATTGCCAGATATCATTTACACTTTTACGTCTTAAATATGCCGCGTCCCATTTGGTCACGATGCCACTGTGCTGGATTTGGTTTTTTATATTTATATTATTATATTAAGACATTATTATGAATTATTAGATATGCATAAATGGTTTTTTTCTTATTAAGCCCATTTCAAGAATTTAGATTATTTTAGAATAGTAGATGAATTCATCTATATATAAATATTAACTAAGACTTAACATTCAATCCCTCATTTGTAAGATTAATAATTTTTTTTAAATTGGTTATGTTTAATAACTTTCAAATTGAATTATTATGTTTAAAATTTTCAAAATATAAAATATAAAGAGTGATTTATTTAACATGAACTACTAATTAAGTAGTTCATGCATAAATGAAATCAATTGAAAAATAAAAATAATAATGAGAATTTTTTTCTTTTCTTTAGGTACAGATTTTTCTTTATTATGAAGTATTTATCTCTTATAAGGGTGTCAAGTATATTTTTTCAAATGGCTACACACATAATTAACTAGTTAGTTTATTAAATAGATAATTATCTAATTAAAAGAATGTCTAAGTACTATAAACTAATGTTTATAGAATATTTACAAATATAATTTTAAGTTATCGCCATATTCACTACCATTCGGGTACATTAAGAAACTGAGTATTACTTTCCCGAATTAACTAGTTAATAGTTAATAATCAATATTCTCTCATAGGTGTTTTTAAATTATAATGCATGGCTTCGACATTAAAAAAGTATGTATAATGGAGCATGAGAAGATATTTAAAAGCGTTAAGAATTCGTGTTACACGATTTAGTTATACCTTCGAACCGTTCGATGAGATTTTTTGATAATAATTAACTTAATGTATCAATAATTACATTCTTTCGCACGCAGTAGCCAACAAAAACACTGTATGGGCTTATGATACCTTCATTTGTTCAAATCGCCTGATAATCGATCTTTATAGTACTCTGAAAGTGGTCACAGTAAGAGACCTACATAGTCTAGTACTTAAACTAGAACCATTTTTTAAGTAGCGCCGCCAATGATAGTGCTAAGTGATCGTGCCGACCGTATTAATATATAATTTAATTGAATAGAATTTATTAAAGTTGTCTGAAGCTGAAAAGAGAACCAGTTCTTTCGTAGTCATGGTTCGTCGTTGTTAGCACAGAAGTACGACTACGAGGTAATAGAGTGCGTACAAAGGTATAGTCATGTGTATGTAAGGATACTTGTCGTGCACACAAGATGCGGTGTGTGTTCCCTCACTGGAATTCTTTATCCGTTTTTTACCGGTCTCTGGCTCCCACTACCACCACCGCCAATTCACCTGTTACCCCGTTTGCCATACCATTCCACTGCACACCACAACAATGCCGCGAGGCCACGACAGTAGTAGATTAGTGTCAGTGCGGATCGTTGTAGTGTTTGTGTAGTGAATTCGTGTTATTAAGCAACTTTTTTAATGATATTCACGAAGAGGACATAAATAATCTTGGAAAATATTATCAAAAACTCAAACAATACAAGTGTTCTGTTCAAAACTATCGAATTGTGTAAGATTCACGTGCGTTACCAAACGATTTAAATATAAACAAATGGCAATAATACGATAACCGTGGACAACACGCGTTTTAACCCTACAGGTATGTCAGTATGATATAGTATTAGAATTATACTATCAATGTCCATTTAGTTCAAGTGCTGTAATTTAATATATTTTCACTCATTTTGCCGAATGACCAAGAACATTGATTATACTATGGTGTATTACCATCCGTAGCCGAAACTTTCTAAAAAAACAATGCGGGCACTACAACTGAAATAATCTCCCGTTTGGATAACACTTAATATTAGTTAATCCTTAAAAGATATGAACTCTGACTTAATTGTGTCCGCTGTTCCGCTCCTATGCAGACGTATATCTCTTTTTTTACTTACAAAACTAATAACGTTAATTCGCCCGTTTCTGTTTTCAATGGGATTGTGTGCAAAAATGATTATTTAGGTTTTTTTTTGTTCGATTTTTCTTTACTAAAAACTTGTTATTACTTGTTTGTACACATACGATTTCAATGCTTATACTTTTGATCCATATCAGTCTAAATTTAAATTCCATTCACAAACGACGTCTTAAAAATAAATATAACAACTTTGACCTACTACTATCATTCAAATTGTTTCACGAACAAAAATTTTCATATCTAAAAATATGACTGTCGGAACTGGTTCAAACATAAATATAATTAAATTGTTTACATCTATATGATCAGCTATCAACGTTTGTAACTTGTAATTACATCGGAAACCCGCATAGTAGGCTTAGGTTAACGTTTTCGTTTCTCAATACTTGTTACTTATTAGTAAGGTTAAAATAGGTGTTTTAAGCCAGCGATTGTACTTATTCCAACAAGTTCTTTTGGTTTATATTCATGCGCAGATTTTGTAAGTATTCCGATCTCGATACTTGACGATCTGTAAATTCAAATTGAGCGATGTTAATTTCTATTCTTTATAACGTTTCAATGAATATTGAATACATATTTTGAACACCTACCCAGTTCATTTGAAATTCTTATAATAAAAATTTTATTTCTTTATAAATTATAATAGTAATACTGAAAATAAAATGGAAATGGAAAATTTTATATTAGTGAATTTATTCTATTGGCAGTTAGTTTAATGAAGGTGTGGTTAATATCTTGTATCTGCTTATGTATAACAAGTCCTATAATTTATTACTAGTATGTTTATATGTAAGAGCTAATTTGTATATTAAACAGATGATTCAGTCATATTATCTTCTACATAAAATTTAAATATTTTATGTTTACAATAGTAAACAGTTAGAACTGATCATTTTTAATAGGGACCTCTAAGAATATTCTTATAGTGCAGGATAATAACAATAAAAAAATAAAATATTTAGAAGTACAATGTGTAAATTTAAAAATGTCAACTATACTGAAATAAAAATAATTTAAATTTATTTCATAGAACATAAAGATTTATTTTTCTTAGTATCTTACTATTTTGATTAACATACAACACAAAATATAAAAAACATTAAACTAGTAGTTTTACCTATTAAAAAAGATTGATTGATATTGTGATACGAGTCTATTCAAATATTTATAACCACGGAACAGGTTTCTTAATTATGAAGTTAATGAAGTTTTCAGTTGACTATTTTAATTTTGGTTAAGTGGTTTTTAAAATAGCGCATAATTCCTCCCGAATAAGTTGTCAGAGAGTCTAATATCTTATTCGTACACTTCTATAATATCCGTTGCTAGATAGTTCTTCAGATTTAATGAGAGAAAAAATATTCAAATTAATTAATACAAATGTGTACTTAAATAATAATTATTAAATATACTTATTATATTTTTTTATAATTATTATGAAAAATAAAGATTCAATTTGTCTATTTTAGCAAATTAAAAAAAATTATCTTTATCTGATTGCATTTTAGGCTTACGAAGTTCTGGTAAAAATACATATTTTCTTTTTTTTTTACATACTGTTTGTTATATGTAAATTTACGTCCAGGTATAGTAATTTTTATGCTATACAAATTCAGGTCTGCATTGATCTTACTTAACTATTTTAATATACATAAGCTAAAAGAACTGGGTTCATTTTGAACTCAATAGAATTTCTTTATAGTCTTGTGACACAACATTTTCAAAAATATCCAATCATAATTTTAGCTTCGATGCGAAGATGAGAAGGTATTGGTTTTACTAAGATGTGTTTTTTTTTTTTTTTTTTTTTTT